GGAGCCGCCGCCTCGCTTCGCCTCGCCGCCATGGGGGTGGAAGGCTGCACCAAGTGCATCAAATACCTCCTCTTCGTCTTCAACTTCATCTTCTGGGTGAGCCCCGGCTTTGGGGGGCGGGGGTGGGGGGGTGTGCCGAGCCCCCGGGATTTTTGCGTGACGGACAGGGCTGCAGCACAGCTTGCTTGGGTTTTCTGTTTTTTAAACCTTTTCCTTCTTTTTTTTTTTTTCTTTTTCCTCCCCCCAGTTAAGATGTGGCCTGGGGACATGGCTTGGATTTTTTTCTGCTGCTCCTTTTAATGTATATATACGTGCGTGTGTGTCTGCATATATGTATACATTACAAAAACCTCAAAGCTACGTCCCTTTCTGAGAAGGAGGGGAGGAGGCTGCTATTTTTACTGGGGGGGGGGTGTCTGTGTGTGTGTATATATATATTTATATATGTGCCTATGTATTTTGCTATAGGTAGATTTTTCATTTTTCATCTCCTGTTTCCAAATCCACTTGCCGGTGCCGGTCGCCCCACCGTGAAGGGCCGAGTTGCAAGCCCGGCAGCCCCGCTCCCCTTCCCCGCGGGGGGCTTTTCTGCCGCACTGTGCGTGGAGCTGGGGGGGGGTATACGGAAGGGGGGACGCGGCTTGTGTCACCTCCTTGGGATGCGACCCCGCGAGTCCCTGTTGCTGCCAGGGCTGTGCCGGCAGAGCTTATGAAATCAGCGTGTGTTAGAGAGCGAGGGATAACCCGAGGCGAAGGGAGGAGAGGTGCCGGACAAATCTTGCGTCGCGGATGAGCTGGAGAAGCGAGAGCGTATAAAACCTGAGCGACTCGGGCTGTTTCTTCTCCTCACAGCCGGGAGAGCCTGCAGGGACGGGGTCACCGGCTCCCAGCCCCACCGGGAGCGGGGCTCGGGGCAGTGTTGAACCCCGGCTGGGAACACCTGTGTGCCCTGCCTGAGAAGTTACTCTGGTCTGAAAATTTTACCTGGGTTGAAGAGGTTTGCTTTCCTGGGAAAGTTTTTCATGAAATAATTCATCGAGATATGTGGCTAATATAGCAAAAAACTGTGTATCCCGGTTCCTCGGGCGCTTTCTGTAAGCGATCAGGTCGGTAGGTCTGTCCCAGCTGTAAACACCCTCCAGCAAAGCGGAGCCTGTGTAAAAAGAAATGTCCTCTCTTTATGCGCTTGCTGTTTTCTTCACGGCCCCCTTCCTGGAGAAGTTCTGAGTTAAAATGAAAATAGTAAACAGTGTTTTCTCTTGCACGTTTGGAGACAAACTGTCATTTCCCATATGCAGTTGGGCGTCTAGTTACTGTACCGTTCTTACCGCTCCATCTGACCACAGTGGTTGTTCAACACCCTCTTGCTGTGTTTTGTTAGAGGTTTTCTCTGCTGGAAAGTGTTGGCCACCCAAGGCGGCCTCGCGCTCTTCAGCCTGCTCGTGGGTGGGTTTCGCTGCCGGCAGCGGGCTGACCCGATCCGGCCGGATCGCAGTGGAGCAGCGCGGCTTTGGAGGTGGTGGATCCTTCGAGTTAGGAAGAAGGTTATGGACTTGTGGTTTCTTTGAGTGTTTCACGGTTCTAGGTCAGCAACATCTGGTTCTGCTGACAAAGACGTCAGAAAGAGCGCTCCGAGTCTCTGTATCTGGGAGCACTGAAAAGCAGCAATGTGATTTTTAAGAGGCTGATTTTTTTTTTTTTCCCTAAAAGGGTATTTGCCATTACCAAAAATGTTATCTCATATATATATATAAGCAATGGTAGAGGAGGGAGTCAGTCGGCTCAGGAGCGAGCCCCGGCCCCACCCAGTGACAGCTGAGACCCGAGAAAACACACTGCTCTCTGATTTGCTGCTTGCATAGACAAGATATGCCCGTTTGGCCAATGCCCGGTTCTGTTTATGAGGAATTTGTCTGAGTTTTTTGTGTTTGCGTTGAGGAACGCAGCCAGGAGGATTAGGGAAGCGAACAACGAGGCGCCGATGCCTGGTGGAAGGAATATGGTGCCTTGCTGGAGCGAAACGCGGCCCGGGACGCGGCTGTGTTAAGCGCTGGCAGCTCTGCTCGGCTGTAGGCTCCAGCTGCTGTAGTCTTTCCGTGGGTAAATGAAACAACCCTAGAGTCGCACAGCGACCCTCCCACGGAAACCCTCGCTTCCGATACATGTAGAGCTTTTTGCTTCGTGTCATCAAGCACTGTCAAATCCAGTCTGATTTCAGGCTCACCTGAAGCCGCCTTTGCTGCTTTGCTGTTTTCCTCAGAATAGTATGGAGCAAGGGGAAGACGATGAGCTCTGGTGACAGTGATGTTAACTGATACCTGATGTATTGCCAGGTACAAGGTGAATGCAAAACAATCCTTTTTTTTTTTAACCATTTCTTCCTTCCTTAAAATGACAGGATAGACATCTGTAGTCTCTTCTCTAAAGTGCCTGACTGCGACCTCGCAGCATTCTCCTTATGTTTTTCCTTCCAAGTTATCATGCTTATCCAGGGGCTTTTTCTTTCCTTCTTGTCCTCACTTCCTGTCATTCTTGTTGCTGAAGTCATGTAGTATAGATGCAAGGGAAGAATAGTCTTCCAGGTGACAGCAGGGCTGGCCGGAAGGATGTACGAGGACTTTGCATAGCTATTGTTCCTGAGCAAGTTTGCTTGTTCGCCGCAATGTATGTATGTTGCATTTACAAAACAGCTAATCATTTATAAACCTACCCTTGGTGACCAAGAGGAATACCAGGTTTCAGCTGTGACTTCTGACGCTTGCCCCTACCCTACGGGGAGAAGGGAGCCTGTTGACATTAATTCACTGGAAACATCAGCTTTTCAAGCTTCTTTCAAGGAGAGGTAGGGAGCTTTTTTTGCATCATACATGGTCTTCTCTTGACCACCTTCTCGCAGTGTGAGAGAGCAGAGAGCTGGGCATCTGCTTTTACCTGAGTTTTAAAGGGGCATTTTGTACAAAGGATCCTTCTCTAAGGCAGATGCTGCCGGTACTCTTAAGAGTCTAATTTTCCCAGGATATTTCTGGAAGGTGGCTGTACTTTTCTCTTAAAAAAGCTTCAGCCTAGGTTTGCAAATTTCCAGTTGCATCAGAAGATGTAGACCATGCTGTAGGAGAAGGACTGGAGACCCAGCGCAGTTGTGCAGGTAACATGCATGGTCAGATCTGTGCTCTTCAGCTGCAGCAAGGTGAGCTGGCAAGGGCGAGCTGTGCAGCGCAGCGTTGGGCTCCTGGTCGCTGAGGAGGCAGCTCAGTGCATCAAGCTGTCTCCTGAACTGGTCTGTCACCAGTGACATGGCAGGTTGAGCGGCTCCCTGCAGTGCTCTCCAGCGCTGGCCAAGCAAGCTGCTTGCAGCCATGAGGTGCCTTCTGTGCAGACAGCAAGTTTGGACGATCCTGCGTGTCCATCCATCCACGTGTCCAGGAAGGGTTTGAGGATGAATCCTCCCATCGTTCTTAAGGGCTGAGGTGGTGTCTTTCCATGACTACCCTGTTCTTGCAGAGCTGTGTTTTCCATTTACTGTAGTTTTTAAGACTTAATTTTCTAGTAGTTGCTTTGTTACAATTAATTATGTTTTCTGAGAGACTGTGAAGCTCAGCAGTTGTTAAACAATGGCTTTCATGGTTTTCATATCTTTTTTCTTTTTCTTTTTTTTTTTTTAAACTTGTGGTCCAGGCCAGGGCAATTTTAGATCTAACAGTTAGCAGATGTGGTGTACAGAAAAATCTAAGATTTTCATTTAGGGAAGACTGCATTGCTCCCTGACTTAACCTAAGGATCCTTTTGTAGTTGGCGCTTAAGAAGTTGCACGGAAAATACTTGCTGCAGGCAGTTGAGCACTTTGCAGGCTAGTGGTGCAGGTGTTCTAGCTTGCAGGTAGCCTTTAAACAGAGGAGAACGCACAGCGTGGGATGGGATTCACAGCGATGTGGTCGTTCCAGCTGGTTAGTATGCAAGGGTCGTTCAGCTCCTCAGACTCATTTGCTTATCACTTGCTTTGCACTGAATTGAGGTCGGTGGTGTTGGCAAAAACAAGCGCGAGGCAGAAGCAAAAGTTTGGCAGGCGCTGCGCTTTCCTAGCATGCTGAAAAGCAGCTTACTCCCATGCTCAAGAGGAAGAAAGGAAGCAATTCTAAGCCTTAACTGTGTTAACAAATAAGTAAGAAACTATGATAAGGCTTTAAAGTAGTTCTGTTGTCCTGCTGGAGTGTAAATAAACTGACACCCCACTGGCTTCCTCCCCCTTTCCTACTCCTGGCAATGCAGTGGGGAAGCTTAGCAAGGCGGTTGTGTTGGAAAGTGAAGGGAAAAAAGTCTGCCCTGGTGCTAGTTCCCCAGGGTGCCGAAGCAGTAACCTCTGCGGGAGGTTTTGGGAGGTTGGTAGTTTTTTTTCTTTTTCTTCCCATGTATCTGAAACAGAAGATGCTGGACTTGCTGGAGGATTAAGGAAGAACGGCTCCTCTGAAGCGAGCAAAGTCGCATCGGGTTGTGTCGAGGCAATGTTCGGGAAACGTTCTGCCTTGTTGCAGGAAAGAAGTGATCCCTGTGGGTTATACAGCAACATCCGTTGACCAAGGTAGTGGGGGAAGCTAAAGGTAGCAACAGGAACTGAAACGTGGGGTGGGAGGGCTTCTGTGCTACACTACGTACATGTCTGGCAACCTTAAAGCTTGACCCCTGCACTATTTTTGTTTTAATATAGCATCTTGCATGGCTGAATTAAACAGTGTCTTTGAAATATTTTGAGAGGTGTGGAGGGACAAAGGTTTTCTGGATATCAGCAGAGGCTGAGTGAGTGCCTTTGGGTTGGATGATTAGGTTCCTGCTGGCCGGAGTGCCGAATGCAGAGCGTGTGAAACAGTTCAGTGGCTGAAGGCATGTGGGCACCTGCTCTTACACCGCTAAGGAGGAGGTTTTTCAGAGAACCTCTGCGCTGTGGGCGCAGAGTTCTGCAGAAATAAGCCTTCCAGTCTCACCCTGTGAAACCAGGGTGGCTGGTGCCCAGTCGAGCAGCCTTTGAAGGAGGCATTTCACTTCTCTGCCTTGCAAGATGGAGAATGAATAGTACCAGGTTATATAATGGCTGCTTTGAAACG